AGCTCACTTCCACATTGCACTTTCCCACAGGAAGGGAGGCTGGGGCTGGGGATGACTCTTCTCAACCTCCCCCTACTGCCCACCTCTTTGCCCACCTCACATTGGTCCCATCACCCTCTCACTTCCTCACCTCCAGGCATCTCATCCCCTCTCTCTGTGCTGGACCCTCGGTCCCCAGTTAGTCCTGCTCTGTCTCCCATGCACAGTCACCTTTTGCAGGCAGCAATGGCCTGCCTCTCCTCCATCCCAGTCCCCTGAGGGTTCTGTCTTCACATTCCGGCTGCAGGCTGGTGACATGGTCTGCTCCTCTACTGTCCTGGGAGCCTCTGGATGTCCTGGTGCTTTCATTCAACAAATACATTGGAAGTGTCAATTCTATGCCAGACAATTCTCCGGGCATGGGTCCTAGCAGGGAGCAACGCCAGACCCCTGCTTTCTTAAGTAACATCCTAGTGGGGGAGACAGATGCCTAGGAAACCAGGCCAGGGCAAGGGGTAACCTGCTGGGGAGGAGGATGAAGCTGGGTGGGGAGAGTGAAAGCCCAGGGCGGGGGGTGCCGTTGCAGATGTGTGGTTAAAGGTTGCAATCTGAGGATGTGACATTGGATGAAGGCCTGGCCAAAGTGAGCTGGCCAAGCAGGCACCAGCCGTCTGGGCAGAAAAAAGGCACAGATGCATGAGGAGGAGCCTGCCCGAGACATGGAAAGCCCAGCAGCAGGGATTAAGCAAAGCAGACCACACCAGGAAGTGCCAGAAGTCAGGGCAGTGTCATATAACCCCTCACAGGCCATCTCTGTGTCTCATGCTCTTCACAGTATGGTTTCTGTTAAGGGCTCAACAAACATTTGTTGGGTGAATAAATGAATGAACGACTGCTTTGAAGCACACTTAGGCTGCCTATGTCCTAAAAATGGCCTTTCTAGACTATTTGCCTTCCCCCGGCCACCTCCAGGTGCCTGGGCTTAGGGTAACCTGGAGCAAGGTCTATGTTCTGGCTGCTCCTTCCCCGGGGAAATGAAGGTTGCCAGCCTGTCCAAGGGGCTGCAAGCTCACAAGCCTAAATTGGTGTTCTGAGAAAGTGTCCACCATGGTATAGACGCGCCTTTCATCACAATGATTTGTCCCTGATGGAGTTCCTTTTATGTTACTGAGAAGGATTCCCAGCAGCCCCCCACCACCATCCTGTGCTCCCACCCTCCCCCAGTCCTGGAAAAGTCTCCCAAGATGACAGCCTGACTGTCCCTTTCTCAGGGACCTGAGAGGAAGCAGGAGATGCAGCTCACATCGGTGACAAAAGAAGATATCCTGAGACCTCAACACCCCCACTTCCTGGCTCTGGCAAATCGCTTGACTTATGTGAGCAAGAGCCCCTCGCTGCCTGGTCCTCCTCACCTCATTTGACCCAGCTTGAGCCTCGGCGATTCAAGCCTACAGCACCTAGTGCAGCTATGCGGAACTCTAAGCCCAAGCAACAGTGGCTTAACCCAAATATGGGTGTTTCCTTCTCATACGTCACAGAAAGTCCAAGAGTTAGGAGTCAGTGACTGGTGCAGCAAGCCTTGGCTCTCACCAAGGACCTCAGGATGGGATGCTTATTCGTGTGCTTGCAACATGACTGCCAGAGCTCCAGGAAAGGAAGGGATAAAGGGTAAATGGGCTTTTGAAAGTCCAGAAAAGCTGTCAAGGATCATGTCACATGACTAGTCCAATCTGCAAGGGAGGCACTGAAATGTCGTTTTATAGAAACAGCATACATTGCTGTCGATGCCCCAACAAAATGGGAATTCTCTTGTAAAAGGACTAGAAGAGAATTATACTGGACAGATCACAAGCAGCATCTGCCACAATCCACCCTCTGCAGTGCCCCTTCCGCCATAAACATCTTTTCAATATTCACCTACACTTGGCCCTTCGGCTAAGGAATAGACAGGCTCTCTGGGAAGGCTCTCCTGTCTATCAAGTCTAGCTGTGGTCCTTGTGAGTTCTAAAACGTCAAAGTCAAAGGGTCTGTCCCTATCACGTCCCATATGCAATGGCAGAAAAGGAAGGGAACTGTAGTAAAAACTTCCTTCAAGAAAAGAGAACTGGTCAGGCACGGCGGCTCACACCTGTAATCCCAGCACTTTGGGAGGCCAAGGCAGGTGGATCAACTGAGGTCAGGAGTTCAAGACCAGCCTGGCCAACAGGACAAAACCCATCTCTACTAAAAATACAAAAATTAGCCAGGCATAGTGGCAGGTGCCTGTAATCCCAGCTACTCGGAGTATGAGGCAGGAGAATCGCTTGAACCCGAGGCAGAGGTTGCAGTGAGTGGATATTGTGCCATTGCACTGCAGTCTGAGTGACAGAGCCAGACTCAAAGTCAACCCATTATAGATGTTTAACACATCTGTAAAATACCTTCACAGCAACATCTTGATTCATGTTTAATTAAATTTCTAGGTACTACAGCCTAGCCAAATTGACACATAAAACTGACCATCACAGGCAGGTAACACGGTGCAGATGAAGCAGCATTAATATCAGATCAGGGCTTCAGTTCAAATCCTGACTTTGATATCTGACTATGGATGCCCCCATTTGCTTCTCTGAACCTCATTCTGTTTGTGGAAAACTCAAGGGCTTTAGAAAAAAGATCTATGTGTTCCCTTTCAGATGGAATAGTTTTAGATAATGTGACTGTACCATATACCTTCTCATATTTCAGGCATCCAAGCTCATGTCTTAGCAGGGGCTCAAGGATGGTGGCAATGAAGATGATAAAAACCATATTGATGATGGTGATGATAGGGAATAAAAAGGAAAAAATAATGGTCAAATCTGCATGCAATCAAGGGTAATCAAAATCTCTATCATACAGGTGATTCTTGCAGCTTGAAGCAAGCGTTGAAGTAAACAGTGCTTTAGCACTAACTAGAAGCCTAAATGTCAGGCCCTACTTGGAAAACCCCTGAATCCTGCAGCAGCATTGAAAATACGGCCAATTGTTAAGATCATGTGGTTTTTGCACAAGGTATTTAATCCCTCTATGCTCAATTTCATCATATATCAAATGGGAATGTTGATAATTATATTTATCTTGTAGAATTGTTGTAAGGATTAAAAGAGATAATGTATTTGGAGCTCTTGAAATAGAGCTCTCATTATCTACTAACTAAAAATACTCTTCACTGTTGTTTGTTAAGTCTGTGAGGTTTTTGTTTCATTTTCATTACCAAAGAGGCCTTTAGTGCGGGTAAGCTGAGATCCAAATAACCATCCCACACACAATAAATGGGAAAAGGCACCACAGATGCCATGAAGCTCAAGCCTGACAGGTCACGTGGCTTTCGTGTGGCTCTCAGATGAGATTTGACGATGTCCATGTTTCTTTAGCAAGAGAACATTGGATGTGGCCAAAATGAGTCATGAACATAGGTGAGCTCTGTCCATAACCAGTTTTTGCCATCGACATCACTTTGTGACTCTTGATTATTTGCCAGTAAACTTGTACTGAGTCCCAGCCACCATTCAGGCCTGCAGTGGGTACCAGGGCTCCAGAGGTGACTAAGGCATTGTCTATGCCCTTGCAGGACAAGCAGGCTACAGGGGGAAGCCATCATTCAATCAATACACAAAGTGCAATGTCATGAGAGCCATGATAGAAACAAACACAGCCGTGCAACATACAACTGTGCCTACTATGTGCCAGGCATGTACAGTGTAAGTAACACAGTCATAAATAAAACAAAATGCCCTCCTTGCCTTACAATCTAGGAGAAAGCAGCATTAGAACAATCATCTATAGGAAATGAAAAATCACAACGTGTAAAGTGCTACTGTGGGTGCATTTAGTGCTACAAGAGCATGTGACAGGGACTCAGGAAAGGTTTCCATGAGAAAGGAATGATTAAGCTGAGACATGAAAAGCCAGAGTTATCTAGGAAGATCAAGGGAGGAAACAGCATTCCAGGGAGACAGGACAGCAGGCAAAGTCCTGGAGGGAGTGTGGGTGAAGCCGAGGCCAGTGGGCAAGAGGCTAGTGTGGGCTGGAGAAGAAAGAAGGGTCCACGTCACTTGAGGCTCGACAGTCACATCAAGGCTTTGGGGCTTATGACTGAGCAGCCATGGAAGGTTTGGATGCAATAAATTGACATAGTCTAATTTCATATACAGATGTATTTGTGTGTATAGAGAAAGGGGAGAAGGTATAATTTATGTAAAATAAAATTCAGAGATCTTAAGTGACATGTATATATACCAGTGTAACCACCTCCCAAACACGATACCACACAGCAGAATCCTAGCGAGCACTCTTGTCAATCCCAGTATATAATTAGATTTATTGTTTTAGTTGCCTCTGGCAATAGTGTGGAGAATGGATGGTGTAGTTGTGGGGGTGGGGGTGGCAAGAAATGGCAATGGACTCTACTTGGGGTGGAAATGGGATGGAGAGAAGAGAATGGGCTCAATAAATGTTTAGGAGGTAGAGTTTGCAGAGCTTCAAGGCAGCTGGAAAGGAGTGAGGGCAACAAGTCAAGAATGAGGTCCAGCCCGCCAGATGTGGTGGCTCAGGCCTGTAATCCAGAGCTTTGATGGGCTAAGGCAGAACGATGCCTTGAGGCCAGGAGTTTGGGACCAGCATGGGCAACATAGTGAGACCCTGTCTGTAAAAAAAAAAGTTAAGAATAATTATGCACCTTTCCGAAACATCTGTCTGTGGATGAGGATGAGGGGCAGCGTGTGTGCACGTGTGTGTGCATGTGTGTCTGTGTGTGCCTGTGTGTGCAAGTGTGTGCATGTCTGCATGTTTTGGGGAAGTCTCAGGATGCTCGCTTCCTGAAGGAGAACAGGTTGTCAGGGAGAGGCAAGGGGTTCCAGTCCCTGAGCAGGTGCAGGTGACGAGGCCCAGAGCATCACAGGAGCGGCTGGGAGGAAAGAAGCCTGGGAGAAGCCATTCACGACCTAACAAAGCTGGCACAGCCATCCCCAGATTCCGGAAACCCTGAGTCAGTCCTGGCTCGGTCTCCTGGCAACCAGATGCAGGGGCCATGGCACTCTTAACACCCCACGGAGTGAGAGAAGTCTTCCAATTTCAGGTGAAGAAAGAGAAACTGGCTTTTAAACGGAAGCTGGCTCACCCCAGGCACATGGGGAGGTGTGCCCTGGAAGTGGCTCATCCGTGCCTCTTCAGGAGACCCTGGGGCAGCCACCCCAGCTCAGCACAGTACCTCTGAGGCTGTGACGAGGTGTGTGGGCCCAAACTCCAGGCCCAGGCTTACCAGTCTCTGGACCTCATGGACTATTTTTCAAGCCCACATGCAGGCCCAGAAAAGGCAGATCCTGCCTAATGGGAAGCAGGAGACTGTGCCCGCCTCCCTAGGGACCTCAGGGTCTTGTGAGCCCATGTGCAGGGAGTATGTTGGGTGATGCTTCTGTTGCTTCCTACGGGATGCTGCCTAGATTAGGCAGAAGAGTGGTGGCAGTGGAAGAGGAGTCCCTGGGGCTGAGGACAGGACTCTGGGCCTCCCTCTGTCGCCAAGGCCCCCATTAGTCTTCTAGAGTCCTCCAGGGTCCTCCCAGCCAGAGGACCTCTTGCCCCAGGAAAGCAACCCTCCTGAGTGTGGTACGTAGTCTCTGCCTCACCCAAACATTTTGTTGGCACTTCCTTCTCCTACATCTGCTAGTGGCCTATAAGAACTTTCTGGAAGGGCCAGCTCAAACCTCAAGTAAAATGGGTTTTTACTGATAGGCAGGGAAAAAAAGTTACCTTTTTCTCTTGGCCTGCCAAGAGAATTTTCACCAACCAAGACTCATGCCTTCTGCTAAAGCATTACCTCACCAAGCCCTTTCTTGGTCAGTCATTTACACTGTAGTGTGAATTTCACTGTCAGATTAATGCCTCTAGCCCAGCTAGTTGAGAGTGGGCTAAGGGAAGTCAAATTTGATTTTAGAGAAGAGGGAGGAAGGATCATATTTCAGAAGCTGAGGCCTGCTGCATGTATGCAAACACTGGGCTGCAGTGGCCAGCATGAGAACTCTCAGAGGAAGGAAAGTGCTGGAAGAAGATCAAGTCCCAGGAGGAGGAGGGAGTGTTGTCCAGAAACCAAAGCACAGTTCTTCCCGGGGGACCATGTGCCTGGTTACCCTTCAGGGCTCTGGCGCACCATTGTGGGGATCCCAATAGGGTCTTACCCAGGAGAGATGGCTTCTTGACTCCTCAGCCCCGTATCATACCCTCCACCCCCACACTATACCCTCCAACCCCACATCTTACCCTCCAACCCCCATATCTTACCCTCCAACCCCCATATC